AACCTAACCTGGAGCCCATCCTGCCCGAACCGTGTCGGCTTCGGGGTACAAGGGGACGGCTGAAAACCTCAGCAGCCTGAATACTGGCATCTTACATTAAAAAAAAAAGCAAGGATTATTTTTCGGTGAAAATCAGTTTAATATACGATCAGTGTGACGTACATCTGAATGGAGTTAACTGCTTGAATGTTTTCGGTTTAGGGGATGTGAACGGGTTTCAAGTTTCTGTGTCCTTGTTGGTTTCGTTCCCTGGATTGTAAGTTCAGTGAGGGCAGGGACCTTTATCCATCTCATAGTTCTTTTCTCACTGCAGGACTCAACGTAGGTGGGTTACTGAGGCGGTTGCTGGGAATGGAAGTTTCCCAAGTCAATCAACATGCCATGTTAGCTGTAAGTTATTATGCAGTATGCAGTGGGCAGAAATTATTTTGAATTTAAAATGCTCAGCTTCCTGTAAGTGGAATTCATTGTCCGCTCTAGTTTAGCCAGTTGATCGCAAAAGCTGCCCCGGATTTTCATTCTATCCGACAGCTGGAACTTGTTGGGAAGAGGAATTATATAGCGCTTATGCACTAAGAATCTTGATCCCCCAGCACCTATATTTCTGGAATTGAATTTTGGAATTATTTTGGCAAGTGAGCTTAGTTTTTTTAATTAGAGAAATTTTAATTCTGGTAAAATACACATAACATTAAAATTTTACCTTCTTAACCATTTTTAAGTGTACAGTTCAGTGTGCAATGTTAAGTATATTCGCATTGTTCTGCGACTAATCGCCAGAACTTTTTCATCTTGCAAAACTGAAACTGTACCATCAACTTCCTGCTTTCTTCTCCCCCAAACCCCAGGCAGTCTCTATTCTGCTTTTCTTTTTTATGTATTTGGCCACTCAGGATACTTCACGTAAGTGGAGTACTTGTCATTTTGTGACTGGCATATTTCAATTAGCATGTTTTCAGGATGCATTCATTTTGTAGCATTTGTCAGAATGTCTTTCCTTTTTAAGGCTGAATAATTTCCCTTGTATGTATAAACCACATTTCATTTATTCATTCATCTGTTGGTGGACACTTGGGTTGCTTCCACTTGACTCTGAATAATGTCATAAACGTGGGTGTACAAATATCCCTTTGTGACCCTAGTGTCCTGTTTGATAATATGCCCCAAAGTGGAATTGCTGGATCATGTATGTTTTAGTGAAAAACCTGAGTTTTTCCCTCTTGTGTTTCTCCTTTACTACTCACACAGGATACTCCACTTCTGGCACTTCTGGTCAACAAAAGTGTGGGGACTTTTCCCCACTTGAAGCAATTCTCCAGGGCACCAACTGGGTGTCCTACAATTTAACTCAACTCTGACACTATGGAGCACTAGGAGATAGTGTCAAATCCCGTGGGTCAAGGTCTGTCCCACAAGAGTGTGCCCATGTTACTTCACATGCCTATTGCAAGTAGTAGGTCCCTAGGTTACTCACAGCATCTGTCAGAGTTGGCTATAAATGGGAGTTTCCCATGACCCTTCCTTGGGTTTGATTACTTTTGAGTGTGGCTCACATAATTCAGGGAAACACTTAGGTTTACCATTTTATTAAAGGATACAGATCAACAGCCAGATGAAGAGCTATAGGGTGAGGTCTGGGAGGGTCCCAAGCACAGGAACTTGTGTCCTCATGGTGTTGGGGTGCATCACCCTCTCCATGTCCCATATTATTGGGGTTTTATGGAGATTTCTTCACGTAGGCATGATCGATCTTTAACTCCATCTTCAACCCTTCTCCCATCTCAAGAGAGTAGGGTGCAGGACTGAAACTTCCAAGCTTCTAATCATGGCTCCTTCTTTCCAAAGGCAGCCCTCCTGGAGCCCACCCAGAGTTACCTCATTAGAACAAAAGACACTTCTATCACCCAGGAAGTTACAAGGGCTTCAGGAACCCTGTGTCAGAAAAATTGGGCTGGTAACTAAGCCAATCTGTATTAGAAAGTAATGTCTAGGGGAGGGGATGGCTCAGTGGTAAGAGCACATGCTTAGCATGCATGAGATCCTGGGTTCAATCCCCAGTACCTCCAGTAAAAAAAAAAAAAAAAAAGATAAATAAGGAAAGTAATGTCTTATCTGTCTCAGGTTTTTTTTTTGCTAATTAAAAGATAAAACAATAATGCTCCCCCCCACCCCCCGTTTTGTAAGCCAATTGTGCTGGCTAACCTAATGCCTTAAGGAGAGCAGTTATGACTTCCGCTTTCTCATTGCCTTTACATGTAGTAAAAAGGGGTTGCTTTGAAAATGTACATTTTCTGGAAAATACTTTTGAAATATTATACATTTAAAATGTCAGGGCTCATTGGTAGAAAACAACAAATCATGAAGCTACAGAAAAATGTGAGAATGGAATCTGAGTACAGCCTCTACCTTGAGCATTTTTATAGTGCCAATTAAGCTAGTATATGTAATTGTTGTATATATAATGTATAATAGTCTATTAAACTAGTCTGTTTTAGCAATATGCTAATTTATATTTTTGAAACACTGAGACATACTGTTTTGTAGACTCAGAAGCACAGCATTATGATCTGTGGGATTATTTTATACATACTTTTCTGCAACCGTGTATTTTCACTTAATATATCTTGCATTTAAAAAACAGTAGTATATACAGTTTAATCATATTATTTTAAACTACAGTGATCTTCCATAGTACGTATGTACCATAATCTGTTTAATCATCTGATGGATATTTAGATTAGTACTTTTGTTTCTTTTTATTCCTTCAAATAGTGCTTTAGGGAACATTCTTACATATTTCTGTGAATTTCCCCAAGTATTGCTCTAGGATAAATTTTTAGAAGTGAAATTATAGGGTCCAAAGAGTATGTGCATTTAAAATTTGATGTCATCAACTATCTTCCAAAGAGATTGCACCTGTTGGCTCTCCAGCAAACAGTATATGAGGGCACCTTTTTTTGCACCCTCACCAACACTAAGATCATCAAACTTTTTAATATTTGGCAATCTGGTAGATCAGAGGTTGGCAAACATTTTCTGCAGAGGGCCAAATAGTAAATATTTTCAGCTTTGTGGGGCCGTAAGGTCTCTATGCCAGTTACTCACCTCTGCCATTATAGTGCAAAAGCAGTAGAGGACACATAAAGGAGAGAATGCGACCATGCCCAGTAAAACTTTTGCTTACAAAATCAGGTAACGTGCTGGATTTGGCCCTTGGCCATAGTTTGCTGACTCTTGTGGTAGGTAAAAAAATGTTATCTTGTTTTAATCTGCATTCCTTTAGCTAGGTGTGTGATGGTTAACTTTTTTTTTTTAACAAAACTTTGTTGGGTTCCCTACTGATCTTAAGGATATAGCAATAACCAGATAATATTTCGGTCCTCAAGAATTGCTATTTGGGTGGGGCAGTGGGGGGTAACAGACCCTAAAGAAGTAAGCAAATAAGTAGACTGCTAGCTGTGATACGTTCTCTGAAGAAAAGAATCAGTGATGGAATAAAGACTAGGGTTTAGAATAGCAGCTATTTTAGTTAAGAAGTAGGCAGGGAAAGAACTCTTAAAGGAGCTGTCAGTTATGTTGTCGGAGGAGGAGCTAGCCAGGTGTATTAGTTACTTACTGCTTTATTAAAAATTACTCTCAAATTTATTAGCTTAAAACAAGAAATAGTTCTTATCTCACATAGTTAATGAGAGTCAGGAATCTGGGAGAGGCTTAGCTAGCTGGTTCTGACTCAGTGTCTCTTGAGTGTCCACTCAAGATGTGGGTGGGCTGGGGCTGCAGTCAGCTGAAGGCTTGACTGGACTGGAGGATCTGCTTCCTGGAAGCCTCATTCATGTGGATGTTGGCAGAAGGCCTTAGTTCCTTGCCACATGACCCTCTGCATAGGCTGTATGAGTGTTCTCGTGGCACGGTGGCTGGCTTCCCCAAGAGCAGGTGATCCATGAGAGACCAACGAGGAAGCCACAGTGTAGTGTCCTTTATGACCTGGTCATGGTAATCACACATGTCATCACATCTCCCTTAAATCAGCTCAAAGTTCAGAATCTTGTGATCTAAATCAAATTCAAGGATGGGTGAGGCTCCTTGGGTGTGATTCCTTAAGTGTAGCTCCTCTGAGTACATTTTCTCTCACAGACTGTGAAACTAAAGAATTTTTTAATTACCTGTGTCCACACACACGACATCCAGTGGTAGGATGGACGTAATTTGGTGGTGTTTTTTTCCAGTAAAATCATTCAGAAAACTTTGTTGAGTATCCTATGATTCTTACTGAGGTTCACTCTAATAGGTAAAAGCCACACCCACATGTCTTAGAGTGAGCTTTGGCCAAGACTGATGAGTGACTATTTCCTCAAGCCTCTCAGAAGCCCTGTTGTTTGGGTGATTTTTCTGAGGGGCAATGTTGAATATTTGTGAGGTTTTAACAAAGGATTTTGTAATCACATCCTCTGTCTCCTTTTGCATTTTAGTATGAATAGTGAGAAGCCAACAAGTGCATGCTCTGTCTGGAAATCTCCTTAGTTTCGTCACCCTTTTGATTAGGCACATTTTTTACTTCATGTATTCCCACAGGTGACAGTGTTTCTAAATTTTTTGCCAGTACTTAATGAGGATTCTTTTTCTTCCAGTTTCCGTAAGATTTTCCTCACTCTAAGTCCTTTCCTGCAGCCTCCTCAAAGGCATCATCCTTCTCCAGTTTCTTTAAGGCTCTTTAAACTTTTACCTCAAAGACCTGCCAGCTTCTGCCCACTCGTTGATTCCAAATCCTCTTCCACATTTTAGGTTTTTGGTACAGCAGCACCCCACTTCCAGGCACCAAAATCCGTGTTAGTTTCCATTGCTGTGTAACAAATTACCACAAAGCTTAGTGGCTTGAATAAGTGTTCATTATCAGTTGCTAAGAGCCAGGTATCTGAGTGATTCTAGCTCAGGGTTTGCCGTAGGTTGTGGTCAAGATGTTGGCTGGGCCTGCAGTCATTTGAAGGCCTGCCTGGTGCTGAGGGATATTCACTCATCACTGTTCACAGAAGGCTTCAGTCTCCCTGGCTCTTGGCCGAAGACCTCACTCTCCCACCTCATGGACCTTTCCTTAGGAATACTTGAGATTTCTCACAACATGGCATCTCCTAGAGCATTTATTCTCAGTGGGGACAGTATGGCCTCCAAGAGGGTGAAAATTAGTTCTTGAGGTGGAGGGCAGAAATCTGATATTTCAGTGGTTTCGGCCTTTCAGAGGTCTGTGGGACATAAACAGATGTACACTGTATGAGTGGCATTAAAATTTTATTGGGGAGCTATTAGGAAAACAATATCCAGAAGGCTTCTTAGATGGGCAGTGATGAAAAAAAGGTTGAGAAATACTGCTTTAGAGCAAGTGATCTAAGAAGGAGCAAGTAGGTAGTCACAGTGCCTTAAAAGTTTTTTTAATTGAGATATAATTGACAGGTACTGCCTTTTATGACAGTCTTAGAAATAACACACACTGCCACTTCTGCGCTACTCTTTTTGTTAGAGGTGAGTCACTTGACGGGAGTGTCAAAAGTTACGGAGTTATTTTAAGCCATCAGTTCATGTCAAGAATGATAAGGGCACTCCAGGCAGAGGAAACAGCAAGGACAAAAGAAGGATTTGGCATGTTTGGGGAACGAGCGGTAGCTAGTGTGGGTAAAACACGGTGAGGAAAGGGAAGAGTGGTGTGAGATGAGGTTAGAAAGGCTCTGTATCTTGTGGGGCCCGTAAAAACTTGAAAATTTTATTCTAAGTGCAAGGGAAATAAAAGTATTTAAGCAGGGAGTCAGACAATATGGATTACTGTAGAGAAAGATCTCTGACAGCTGTGTGGAGAGTGAATCGAGACAATAGGTGGGACCAGTGAAAGCGTGGCGACCAGTTAGAAGTCTGCTGTCATAGGCCAGGCGGGAGGTCACACAGACTGACTGCGGAGGTAGCAGAGGAGACCCAAGAGTGGGCATGCTGGGCTCTGAAGGTGGAAGCTACAGTAGTTGCTGATGGATTAGGAGAAGGGAGGGGAAGCAGAGATGACTCCTTATGTTTTGGGCTTGGGGGATGTTGGTGCTGGTGACACGTTTGGGTAGAAATGAAGAGCTCCTGTTTTAGCCTAAGTCTGAGTAGATAGGGGAGAAATAGCAGTAGAAAGGGGGAAGTAGAAGGGCAGAAATAAGGGCTCGAGAAGAAAATAGAAAGATTGCTGTTTGGCTTGTATTCTTCTCAAGTCCGATCTTTTATTTTTCCCTGTCAGCTGCGTATGTATATCTTATGCCACCTGTTATATTAGTTATTCAAAGTGGGTATCAAATGTTTTTTCATGGGATTTAAGTCCCTATTTTTAAAAGTTGTGATATAGAGTATCTGCATAAGGATTATTTTTATGATGAATTTATTGGCTTAGCGTAGGTTTCTTTAAAGTATTTTTCTATTACAAAAGTATTAAGTATTTATTGATGTTATATTAAAAAAACACAGATTAGCAAAGAATTGAACGTGGAAATCACACTCAGTCATACTGCTCAGAAAAAACCATTATTAACTCCTTTGTGTGTATTCTTTCAGTCTTTTATCACATATGCGCTTGTACACACACACAAGTATGAATAAACATAGAATGGTAAGTATTAACACTGACTTCCACTGCTTAATTGAGAATATATATTACGTGGAATGTGTTTGAGTTACGTAAGGTGTAGAGTAGGGTATCAAATTAAGGAATGTGATTTTTTTTTCACTCCAGAAATATCCCTTGGAGGAATAATGGTTTGACCTCTGGTTTAGTGATTAAAGTTGCAGAAAGGTCCCCAAAAAATGTTCATGGCAATAATATATTTTTTTCTACTTTTGTGAAAAAGGTGGAAATGACCTCCCAAAGCTTGCAGATATCAGGGTGTTTTTAAGAAAGTACGTTGTAGATGTGCTGTGGAGATGAACGTTGTCTGCTTTTGGTTCAAGATAAATACCTCTGCCTAGGCCAAAACAGAACGGATCCTGTGACTGAGTCATTGGTTTACATGTTCAGTAAAAGCTGTTTAGGACATTAGGAACAACTCCCTGGTTGTTATGGAAAGGGTGCCAGAAGGAAACATTGATTAAGATTTAAATTGGGGGCCTTTTAAGGAGTGTATATCTTTAGTATTTATGAAAATTCTCTTATTCTTATAAAATATTTATTAATTTGGCAGACGTGCTATCAATGTACTTCATCCTTTCTTGAGAATTTAGGTCTTCAGTAGGAATTTTTTTCAAAGAGAACCTTTTTTATATGCACATTGTCATGAGGAGCAAGAGACAATATCATACCTTTTGTTGGGTAAAAGTCATTCAGCAGTAGTTTTCTTGCCTATCTAAGCACAGTACTCCATGTGAGTTATGTGGCTCCATTATTGTTTCAGAATAACGCTCTTTCTCTTCCCTGACTGGCAAAATTCACCTTTCATTAATTCAATATAAATTTATTTTAAAAGCAAATAAAATTTAATGAGTATTCTGTGCCATCCCCTTGGCTGGGTGCTAGGAGCCTGAGAATGAATAAGTCATGCTCCCTATTATTAGGAGCCTTTTTAGTCAGTATAGTCCAACAGGAGTGAAGGGCAAGCAGACTTCTCACTTAGGAAATAAAGTGATTAGAAGCATGTTAGGGTCCCTTGGGAACATAAGGAGGACCATCTAGTTCAGATTGAGGAACTGAGAAAGGCAAAATCTTGAAAGATGATGAGCAGTTTGTTAAGGGGGTGAGAGGAGGATATTATCAGTCTGTGTACATGGAGGAGGTGGGAACTGTTGTCAATATTTCATTTCTGAAGCTGGTGGTGAGTTGGGTGTTTGCTGTATTATTTTTATCATCTGCATATCAGAAGACCGTAATAAGTATTTTTTATCATTAGGCCTTCGAGTTGATTTATGGATGTTGGTAAGCATTTCTCACATAGAAACTAGAAGCAGAGGTTGTAGAAGTGAGAAATAAAAGTAGGTGAGTGAAAGTAAGTTTATATATTGTTTGCCTTGAAAGGATAAACTTCATTTTGGGGAGACATTTGTACTGCTTGGAAATGAAGATTTCTTTTAAAAATTTATATCTGACCATATGCTTCCTATTCCGGCTTTGCAGTTTCAAGATAGCTTTGTTCTTTAAAGTGTTCTGTTTTTAATCTTTTGCTTTATTTTATGTTGTACAAATATGCATTCAACACTGTCTTTTTATTTTGATGAAAACATTTATATTCTGGCTTCTTAATGTTTTTTAAGCTCATGCTTCCTGGAGGAGGATAGTTACCACTTACAATTTTGGATTTCTTTGGAGGCGTTTTGTTTTTTCAGTTTTAGTTGCAGACTACATTATTGGGATTGAGTATTAAGAAGGAACATATATAGCAGTTTAATGTTTCTAAGAAGAAATTTGATCTTGCTGTTCTCTGATAAATGCTTAAGAAAATAGTCGTGTAATTTTTTTCTCTTTCAGCCTTTCTAAGAAAAGTCTACAGCATCCTTTCTCTGCAAGTTCTCTTAACTACAGTGACATCTGCATTTTTTTTATACTTTGATTCTATGCGGACATTTGTACATGAAAGGTAAGGTAATGATGTGATTCTGAATCATTTTCAGCCACTGCATATGACTGAAAGGGCATAATATGAGCAAAGTTAGTTTTTTTTTCTATTAACCTTTGCAGTTAGAATGTAAAAAATGTTCATTACTAACTCTTCTAAATAAGTTTTGATAAGGAAAATGTTCTACAACATGGTATTTACCTCTGAACATTTTAGCTTACAGTTTCATAGGGTTCAACTCTCATCTCATGGAGTAGTATTAAGAATTTTCAGTGCATGTAGTTTTTTAAGTCTTCATTTTTTTGCATATATTAGACTTACGCCCTGTCTCCAAAGCCTAAGACAGTACTTGAAAAGTAAAGATAGTTAAAAAAAAAAAAAGATTTAATTTATCTTAGGGTTGACTCAAACGAGGAAAATTTCACTGAAAAGTTTTCAGAGGAATTCCGTATGATTCATCCCTAATTTGTTTAAGATCTGACCTCCAAAATAATTATTTCCATGGCTAAAAGTAATATAGGGTTTTTTTGTATTCAAAGAAAGGAAAAATAAAGAACGAACATTTTCTTAGCAGTAGTTACTTTCTGTCCTACGTCTCTTTACAAAAGGGGAGTTGTGAACTATTTGCTACTTGAAGTAAAGTTCTTTAACTTAAATCACAGCTGGGTAGTAAATACTCTAAAAAATATGTATCAAATTTGTTAATTTATTAGTTTTTCTTTATTTCTTTAATAATAACTATTATTTGAATACTTATTCTTTATTGTATTTTAGTTTAAAAAAAGCAGTAATTGCAAACATTATTCAAATATGATAGAAGTTCATGAATTAAAAAGGCCAAGTCTTCCCCATTCATTGTGGGGAAGATTCTTTGTCCTGCTCCTCCTCATCTCACACTCCTCAAGTTTTCTACAAGGAAAAATAATTTCTTTTGATAGTTTGGTGTAGAGCCTTCCAGATTTTTTTCCCCCTATACTTTCATAAATACACAGATAAATTTTATTAAATTGGATAATACTATTTATGGTATTTTTAAACTTGGGAATGGTTTTAATGTTTTGTCTTTCAGTCCTGCCTTAATTTTGGTGTTTGCCCTTGGATCTTTGGGTTTGATTTTCGCCCTGACTTTAAACAGACATACGCATCCCCTTAACCTGTACCTGCTTTTTGGATTTGTGAGTACTTTGACAATATCTGTTCCTTTAACATTTGTTCCTGAGTGTTAAACTTTTTTATTTAGTTGAATGCATATACATATGTAACAGAACAAAATTAATGAGTTTTTTTAAAATTCAAAGCTTTACTTTTATGATAATGGCCTATCAGTTGGTGGATAGAATCTAACTAGAGTAAGCACATAAAACAAAGATACGTAATTAAGGAAAAGAGAACCTAGAGGATGAAGCTTGATATCCCTAAATGTTTTATTTAGGATATGAGTTCAGTTACTTATGACATGGCTTAAACAATGACAAGATAACAGTGACCTAAACAGGATGGGTTAACTTCTCTTTCAGGTAAAAATGTGAAGGTTTAATGAAGTGTCAGGGACCCAGACATCTACTATAGTTAAGACATTTCTTAAGTGTTGCATAGTACAAGAGAGCTCACTGCCATGTCCACATTCTATCCATTTATTTTAAAAAACAAAAGGAGGAAGAGGAGAGTAGGCTTCTTTGCTTTTTGAGATTGTGTACCTACCTTGCTACTCTGTTGACTAGAATGCAGTCTTGTGACCAGATCCAGCTGCAAGGGAGGCTGAAAAATGTATTGTTTAATCTGAATAGCTATGTGCTCAGGTAAAAATTCTGTTACTAGGGAAGAAAGAGAGGATAAATACTGGAAGACAGTTTCAAGACTGTCTTGCCACACAAAGTACTACCTAGATATTTTATTCCTCCTGTATTTGTTTGTGTGAGATAGTGATGTTTTTATTAATGTGCATGTGATTTGCAATTTCATTTTTTTTATTACATGAGAGAGAGTGAGAAAAATAGAATTTTCTATATTATTTCTAGAATCTTCCTGTTATAAATATGAAAAATCTAGTTGAATTTAAGGAGTGATGGGATCACAATTTCAATCTAAATATTCTTACTCAATACACTGAAATTTCCGTTTATTATGGTGGATCATATACTTCCCAAGGCTGCCCTGAAGCTAAAATGAGATCATGCATATAGAATCACCTTCAACTCCTGGATATTAGAACATGTACATGACATAGTATAAACTTTACTTGCATTTATGTAATTTCAGTTTCTTTTTCTTAGACACTGTTGGAAGCTCTGACTGTGGCCTTTGTTGGTAAGCTATAATTGTGCTTTTTTTAATGTGGATAAATTGTTTGGGTAAAAAGGTGTTGGGGCTAAAGCTTAATATCACGGAATGTCATAATCAAAAATGTGGCATAGAATGAGGAATTCCTAAAATATAAGCACAAATTAAATGTTTATGTAATTCAGCTGAGTTCAGAGGAAGTAAAGAATTGGGAAAACAGTAGAAATGGAGAACAGTACCCATTTTGTTTATCCATTTGTAAAAATAAGACAACAGTAGCTAATCTTTTCCCTAATTTAAAGGGATCTTAGAAGAACTGATAACACGTTTTAAGCCATGTACTTATCACATGAGCTCAGCATCTTTAATTGCCTGCATTGAACTCTGCTTTATTATTATATCCTCATATTTTATCACATGGCTCTACAAGAAACAGTGGCAATTTCTGGTTTGTATTCTGTATTAAGTATGTATTTGAAAGGAAATGTGTATTATAATCATTTGGTGTACCTATGTACGTACACTCACATAAAAAATTTTGTGATTCATTAACAATAAAAATTCTAATTGTCTCAAAATGATTAATATGGAGTACCAAAAAGATAGGAATTGACTATGACTCTCAATAACAGTTAATTGTTAATCCTTATGGTTAATATATTTGTCTCTTCCTGTTTTGTCATTACTGGTTTTAACTTTTTTATGCCAGTTACATAGAATCTATGTTGTTTGGTAGTCTATCTCTTCCTTTTACAAAAGAATAAGAATATGAATAAATAATAATAACCACTAAAATAAATAGCATTGAAATTTCTTAGCACAGAGAAGAGGTATTATTAATATTTACTTATTATTAGTGTTACTATCTATTAATGTTACTTACTATTAATGTTATTATCGGATCCATCTCTGTCCTCCCTGGCTCTCACCATTTGTAAGGGATGTACGAGAGAGATTTATTTCAGGGTAACTGGAATCCATCTAATCTTACACTCAAATTTCTGACAAGAAGCAAAAATGATTTCATGTTTTATCTTTTCTGTGTTCACCTTCCTAATCCTGTAATGCATAGAGAAATTCCAACTGTTTAGCATTTAGGGATAGAAAAAACTTGGATAATAATTCCCCCCAAATTAAAAATTACTTAAATCGTTTTGGGTTCAAAGCACTTAACTTCCTTTAAGAGATTATAATTTAACATTCTTGTTAAAATATTAAGCAGTTGTATTACAACAGCCACAGTCAATCCAGATGATTATTCTACAATTACAGAAAGGAATTTAGTATATATTCAGTAAACCCCCAATAATGTACTCCACGATAAATGCAGATTTGGGTATGAAGCAATCAGTGGTTTCTCTCTCTCTCTCTCTCTCTCTTCCCTTTGGGGTTGGTGAATGGCAGACAATCCCAGACAGCCCCAGTGTTTTTCTGGCCCAGGAATTCCCAGCCAGCCACAGGACCCAGAATCACCCCTATTGATATTTAAGCCACAGTTGATGATAAACTGCAGCTGGGACAGGGAAGGATGAGAATCATTTCACCAGATCCCCCAAACCCCTAACCAGCTAGCTGTGTAATATTGCTCCAGTTATTCCTTTAACTTCATAATAATGTGACCCCCTTATGTCATATACTTTGGAGCCTGTTTATTGTATTATGAGTGTGGTTTTACTGTATCAATATTCAAGACTAAATAAGGAATCTTTTCATAATTGTTTTTATTGGCAAGTAGTATATGACAAAAAATAGAGCACTTCTATTAAATGACAGAAACAAACTTTTATATTGAGTATGTTTATATATATCTTTAATCAGTGTTTTATAATTTTACAGTTACTTTCTATGATGTGAATATTGTTCTGCAAGCTTTTATACTGACAACTGCGGTATTTCTTGGTTTGACTGTATATACTCTACAATCTAAGAGAGACTTCAGCAAGTTTGGAGGAGGGTAAGTTATATATATGTGTCATGGCTATGATAGGTAGGTATCTTTAATACTACCTAGTTTTGAGAGAAGTGCTATACTGTTAGCTTTGGATACTTTTAAACTGGAGGGTAATGAGAGGTCATCTCTCTGAGTACTAGGGCCAGGCCCTACTCTCCCGGAGCATACTAGGAGATGGAAAGTGGCTTTGAGTCATTTGCTTCCCCTGTGTATTTAAAAAGGAAGTGAATGCCAAAAAAATCAGCTTTTTAGGGAAGCGAGGCTTGCATGCTTTACAGATGGTATGAAGTTTACCTAAATTATTAAGGTCTTTGTCTTGATGTAAATGTTACCAAATGTTACATCCACATCTTTGTGCAAAAGCACGATAATTGACCAAGGTGCTGGAGATGTCTGTGTGAACTTTAAAATCTTCTTGATCCATCCAAATTAACCTGTATCCTTCAAACTAATAAACATAGGGAACGATCCTTTTTCTGTTTGAGTAATGGTACTGTATTGTCTTCACCTTGGAAACAATGAATAGACTTTCCTAATAAGCTCACAGTGGCTTCCTGTTGGCACATAATCACCCAGACATTTTCTGTTCTTTTTGCTGTTACAACACTAAAAATTTACAAATGGTCTACTCTTGCACAAGTTTCTTTCCTCCCCCTTTTTTCCCCCTGGTAATCTAGATTACCAGAAAAAAGTTGTTACTGGGATAAAATATAGTTAGTCACCCAATACTGACAATTGTGCAAGATGCTTACATAGTTGTATTAGAATGGAATTTGATTAAGGGAGAGGCAACTTTTTATTTGTTTGCTTCATGTTTTGTATGTGTATGTGTGGGGGAGGGATGTTTTATACATATTTGCATGGTATGTATAATGAAGGATTTGCTCTCTGCTGCTGCTTCAGCTGTATTCCTTCCCCCATCCACTCGCTATAGTCCCTAGAACTACTGTTCAAGTAAACAATCTCTCCTATATTTCAGCCTCTTCAGAATAGATTTTCTTCTTCCTTATCTCAGCTGAAACTTGATTCCTTGCTGAGAATGCTGTTCTCTAGCTGCTCGTTCTGCCACACCCTGTGTTGTTTGTGTGGGGCTTAGTGTTGAAAACTGCTTCAGTCCCTTGTGCTTCTTTCATTATTCCTTCAACATGTTGAACATTCATTGCTTTAAGGGTTAATGCTGTCTGGCTGTGTACTTCCTGCTCTTTCTCATTAATGTCACTCATTCTGATTTTGGTCAAACTTACTCATGCTTTATAAAGATTTGAGCATCAAACCACGTTAGTCCCATACATCACCTTAGCTTCTCAGTATCTCTGGACCCCTTCTACTCCAGCAACTTTCATCTCCCTGCCATGGCCACACTGTGGACCCTTGTCATCACTAGGGATTGTTCCGTTGCTGAAATTTCAGATGTCAGTGTCTCACTCTCTTTCTTCAACCTCCTATCCTTCTATCTCTCTATCTTTCTTTACTCCCTTGACACCCATCTACTATTCCTCTACCTCCTTGAACTTAAGAAATACATTTTTTAATGACATTCTATCATTGTATCATTTTTGAATTTGTTTCTATTGATTGATTTTTCTCCTTGGTCATATTTCCTTGATTTTTTTGCATGCCTTTATAATTTCTGATTGGATGCTGGTCATTGTAAATTTTACATTGTTGATTGGAGTGCTGTATTAAATATGTTTGGCTATGTTCTTCTAGGAAGCAGTTAAGTTCTTTGGAAACTCTCTGAACCTTTTGAGGTTTGCTTTTAAGTTCTGTTAACTGGGTCCAGAACAGCTTTTAGTTTAGGGCTAATCTGGCCCCACTGTTGAGACAGTAGCCTTCTGAGGATTACTCAGAGTTCTGTGTCTTAGGTTTTTCCACTCTGGCTGGGGTGAATGCAGACTATTCCTGGCCATGTGTGAGCTCTGAGGATTGTTCTGCCTACTTCTCCATGGTACTTCTTTCTCCCGCCATTGTCACTTCCTCACACGTATGCATTAAGTACTCAGCTAAAGTCTTGAGGGAAGCCTCTCCTTGCAACTACAACGAAACCAAAACTGACTGTTAGACAACCATCAAAAAAAGACTGGAACCTAGCAAAGAAGATCATCTTCAACTAGAAACATGAAGAGGGAACCACAGCAGGAGGGTAGGAGGGGCGTGCTTGTGGTGTCATTGGGCCCATATCCCATGGGTGGGCGACCCACAAGCTGAAGAGTAATTAAGTTGCAGAGGCCCTCCCACAGGAGTGAGCGCTCTAAGCCCCATGTCACGCCCAGCCGGCATTGGGAGGAAGAGGAGACCCCAGGGCATCTGGTTTTGAAGGCCAGTGGGGCTTGGCTCCAGGAGCCCCACGGGACTGGGGGAAATGGAGACTTTACTTTCTTGGGAAGTGTACACAGACTCTCGCATGTGCCAGGTCCATGGGCAGAGGCAGTGATTTCATAGGAACCCTGGGCCAGGCCTGCCTGCTCGTTTTGGAGGGTCTCCTGGAGACGTAGGGGACGGCTGTGGCTCACCGAGGGGACATAAAAAAGCTGGTGGTGGACATTCTGGGAGTGTTCATCTACATGAGCTTTCCTGGAGGTTGACATCTTGATTGGATCAATAGCACCAAGACCTAGCCCCACCCAACAGCCTGTAGGCTTAAGGGCTGGGAAGCCTCAGGCAAAATAACATACTGGGTAGGAACACAGCCCACCCATCAGCAGACTTCCTATGCCACAAACGCCTCTAGACACCAGAGATTGAGGACCAAGCTTCACCCAGCAATGGGCAGGCAGTGGCTCCTCCTGCCAGGAAACCTGTATAAGCCTCTAGTCCAGCCTCATGCACCAGGGGCAGATACCAGAAATAAGAAAACAGTAATCCCAAAGCCTGTGGAAGGAATCCACAAACATAGGCCAGACTCTACACTAGGACTGGCTGGCCCCTCGCCCTTGGGTGACAAGAGAGGAATGTACTGCTGGGACACATAGGACATCTCCTACAGAGGGTCACCTCCCCAAGGTTGAGAAACATAACTTACCTACCTAAAAATACAAATAGAAAGATAAACAATATGAGGCAGCTGACTAATATCTCCCAGGCCAAGGCACAAGATAAAATCCCCGAAGAAATAAGTGATGAGGACATAGGCAATTTATCTGAGAAAGCGTTTAAAGTGATGATGGCCAAGATGTTCAGAGAACACAAGATGAGTATAGGTGCAGAGAGTGAAGTTTTTAGCAAAGAACTGGAAAATATAAAGCATACTGAAACAGAGTTGAAGAATAAAATCACTGAAATGAATAACACACTAGAAGGAACCAAGAATAGACTGAGGCAGAAGAACAGATCAATGAACTAGAAGACAGATTAGTGGAAATCACTAATGCAGAACAGAAAAAGGAATGAAAAGAAATGAGGATAATTTAAGAGAACTCTGGGACAACATGAAGAACATAAATATTTGCATCATAGGGGTCCCAGAAAGAGAAAAGAGACAAATAACCTGAGAAAATTTTTGAAGAGATAATAACTGAAAACTTCCCCAGTTGGGGAAAGGAAATAGTCACCCAAGTCCAGGAAGCACAGAGAGTACCACACAGAATCAACCCAAAGAGAAACACACCAAGGCACATAGCCATCAGATTGACAACAATTAAGTATAAGGAGAAAATATTAAAATTATCAAGAGAAAAGCAACAAATAACATACAAGGGAACTCCCACAAGGTTATCAGATGATTTTTCAGTAGAAACGCTACAGGCCAGAAGGGAGTGGCATGCTATATTTAAAGTGATGAAAGGGGGAAACTTACAGCCAAGAATACTCTATCCACCAAGGCTCTTGGTCAGACTTGATGGAGAATTCAAAAGCTTCACAGATAAACAAAAGCTAAAAGAATTCAGCACCACCAAACCAGCTTTACAACAAATGTTAAAGGACCTTCTCTAATCTTCAAACCATAAGAAAAGAGAACAAAAAGAAGAAAGAGGAAAAAAAAAAACGACATACAAAACATTACTTTGGCAGTTCGGGGTCTTTTACGGTTCCGTATAAAATTTGGGTTTGTTGTAGTTCTGTGGAGAACGCCCTGAGTATTTTGACAGGGATTGCATTGGATCTGTACATTGCTTTGGGTAGTGTGGCCATCTTGATAGTACTGATTCTTCCAATCCAAGAGCATACGCTATCTTTCCATTTCTTTTTATCATCTTCAATTTCCTTCATCAGTGTTTTACAGTTTTCAGAGTATAGGTAACCTCCTTGGTTAAGTTTATTTCTAGGTATTTTGTTCTTGTCGATGCAATGGAAATATTTATGCCAGTTGTAAAATTCTGGTTTTTGAAGTGGAAAAAAAAAGTGAATGAAGGGCTGCAAATGGCAAAATATCCTTCTTTCTTACAGGTGAGTTGTATTCCATGACATATATATGCTGCATCTTCTTTATCCATTCATCTATTGATGTGCACTTATGATACTTCTATATCTTGGTAATTATAAATAATGTTGCTGTTAATAGTGGGGTGTATGTATCTTTTTGAATTAATTCTTATTTTGTGGTTTGCATTATCCCTTTGGTAACTATGTAAGTTTAAAAAGGTAAAGCTCTAAATGTTCTTAGAAACAATGAACAGTACATATATGTAAATTTTAAAAATACGTGCAGTGTGTTGTGTATATGTATTTACATGCAATACATTGTATACGTGCAGTCTAATTGAAACAATTCTACCTAATAAAACTGAAAAATGAAAAAAATTTTTTAAAAAGGAAAAAAAAAGTCTCGAGGGGAACCCTCGGCATACCACCAAAGCTTGCTAGCTCTCAGTGTAGCTCTCTCCTCTCTGGATCTTTGTCCCGCAAATTCTAGCCACTTTGGCTTCTCTGATCTCTAAATTCTTGTTTCTTCAACTCAAGGAAACCACAAGGCTCCATATGGATTCCTGTCCCTACATTGCAGCCTGGAAACTCTCTAGCTGGGTCACTTGTAGAGCTCACCTCCTGTGTTTCCTTTTTCTCAGGAGTCAGTGTCCTGTGCTGCTTGCTGTCCATTGTCTGGAAAGTGTTGTTTCATGTATTTTGTCTGGCTTTTATTCAAGGAGGGAGGGTAAATTTGGTCCATGTACTTCCTTTGGCCTGAGGCAGCAGATGTATATTCAGGCTCCCAAGTCTCAGATAACAAAAGATTGACTTCTATATGACTTTGTCATATAATTAAATTTTATAAATAATTTATAATTATACTTTATATATATATATATAAATATGAATGGTAATTTATAAACTTATAGTAGTGGCAAATTTATGTACATAAAATAAGTTTTTTAATATAGCAGAATAAAATAGAGAGTATATTGGGAACTATAATGAATGTGCATGTTCACAGAGTAATTTGTTATTGTTATTTGGAGTGAAAATGCAATTATGTTTCATTTGTTCATTTACCTACTTTCTAGGAGTTTTATAGCTCTGAATCAAAATACTTCTAATGGTATTTAGCTTACATCAGTATTTTCTTTGTGTTCCAGTTGTGAAAGCTTTAAAATGATACTCTTAACTAGTTTTGTATACCATAAAAGCAGGTGTTGAGTAGATAGCTGTTCTTTCAATTTCTGGATATTCTACAGTATTCATTGTATATTTAAGAATTCTTACTATTCAGTTATTCTTTGGCAAATATCAAGATAGGTTTATTTCTTTAAAAAATGTTGAATGGGCTTACTAAGTTTTTTGGTTAGGAACAATATTCTAAATTGTTAATATTTTGTTTTTACAGACTTTTTGCTGTTTTGTGGATTTTGTGCTTATCAGGAATCTTGAGGGTAAGTTCTTTTGGAATGGTAACTTGAAATATAATATAAATAATCTCAAAAAGCTGTAAGAAGCTTCTTACGATAGGACACTTAAGGAACATTGTATATAGAATGATTTAAAATGCTATGTTTTAAAAATCAAGGTCTTATTTTAATCACTATTTTTGATTGAAAGAAAGATAAATGAACCAATGAGTTAAATTACATAGAAAGAGGCCCTCACTTGTAATTGCTAACCTTCAAGTGGCACATGTAATTCTGGAAAAGACATATATTTTTAAAAAATTTATGATTGGAATGCTACTGTTTAAAGTCAGGTGGGTAATTTAATAGAAAAGGAAGATATCCACTGATTCCCCCATTTACTCTCTTATCCAACAGAAGTGAGGGTGGAGCTGCCTTATTTTTTTGGCTTTTAACATTTGTATTAAAAATTGTTCAGCATTGTTAAATATATATGTAGCACATGTAACTTAAGAGCAAGTAACTTAAGTATCCATAATGCTGTTCTTAAATATAAAATTATTAATCTGTTGCCTGTAGTTATTTTTTTACAGTGAGACGGTGGAGTTGCTCTTGGCTGGTGTAGGAGCCCTTCTTTTCTGCGGATTCATCATCTATGACACCCACTCACTGATGCACAGGCTGTCACCCGAAGAGTACGTATTAGCTGCCATCAGCCTCTACTTGGATATCATCAATCTGTTCCTGCATCTGTTGCGGATTTTGGAAGCAGTTAATAAAAAGTGATTGAAAGCAGTATGTAGAAATGGATTCACTAATAAAGTCTGAGATATAATTAACCATCGAATACTTTTATGATTTTATTTGTATGCTTTGTACTTCTGAGCTATTACTATAATATCATAGTAATACATGTATTAGTATTACATAATACTAGTTATAATTACCTATAATATGTATTATATTAAATATATAATAACTAGATTATATGACAGTTATATAAATCTTACTGTTTTTTATGTATCTTAGTTTTAAATTCTTCATTTAGAATCTGAAGAGATACCAAAATTCTGTTTTTCAATTTTTTTCAATCCTAAACTTGCCATATATAGATTTTCATTTGCAATTCAAAAATAATGTTATGAGTAGATAAAATTAAGACTGTCAATTTCTTTGTCTAGTGATTTTATCTAAATTTTCCTTTAAGTAATATTAGACTTGATTTTGATTTTAAAGTACTTGTGTCCTTACCATTATAAAGTGTAAATCTCCTTTTACTGGGAGATTTTGATCTTACTTGGAAAGGAAAAAGTATAAAAGAAATTCCACAGAGAATTATTCAGTATTACAATAAAATTATATTAAAATGTTAATGACATTTCATTATAAAATGAATTCTGCTTGACAGTCATATTTTGACATAAAATTTAATTTAACATTATTAGCTTTTTTTTAAGTACAGGTTTCATATAAAAATTATAGCAGTATACTGGTGGCCAGGGAAACTTTGGCCAATTCCTGACTGCATTAGATTGCTAAGGTGCCATAACAAAGTATCACGGACTGTGTGGCCTGAACAGAAATTAATTTTCTTACAGCTCTGGAGGCTAGAAGTGTGAGGTCAAAGGTGTCAGCTGGGTTGGATCTAAGGTCTCTCTTTGGCTGGTAGATGGTCATCTCCCCGTATCTTCACACGGACTTCTCTCTGCACCTGTCTGTGTCCAAATTTCCTCTTCTTATAAGGACACCAGTCCTATTGGATTTGGGCCCACCCTAATGACCTCAGTTTACTTTAAGTACCTCTTTAAAGACCATCTCCAAATACAGTCACATCCTCAGGTCCTGGGGGTTAGGACTTTGCAGTGGTCTGAATGTTTGTGTCCCCCAGAACAATTTGTTGAAACCTAATGGCCACTGTGATGGTGTGAGGAGGTAGGGCTTTTGGGATGTACTTAGATCATAAGGATAGAGTTCTCACGAATGAGATTAGTGCTCTCATAAAAGAAACCCTGTAGAGATCTCTCACTCTTTCTGCTATTTGTGGTGACAGCCAAAAGACACCGTTTGTGAATCAGAAAGAGGAACTTTAACTAGATACAGAATATGCCTGCACTTTGATCTTGGACTTACTAGCCTCTAGAACTGTGCGAAATGTATTTCTGTTGTTTATAAACAACGCAATCTCTAGTGTTTTGCTATGGCTGCCTGAATAGACTAAGACAGACTTTATCATATGAATTTTTAGAGGATACAACTCAGCCCATAACATTCACTAAGCATCATTTCCCAACTATTAAACTTTAGAAATAAATTAATGGTATATAGATTTAGCCTTTGGTGAGTTTTAGATGTAAATTTGATTCCATCACTATCAGTTGATTATTGAATACCAATTGCATGATGATGTACTCAAGTTTTAACATAGCATCACAGGTAAGAGCATATAAATGGAATCCTTACTATGCAACCAACTGATTATGAGATCTTTGGAAAATTACTTATCCTTCTTAGATCTTTTACCTCATCTTTATAATGGGAATAAAAACACCTACTTTATTGTGCTGATACAAGGATTAAATGAGATGGATACATCATATAAAATAAGTGTTTGTTAATGTCAGATGTTGTTATTAATTAATGTTACTGTTGTCAGTCCAAATTGTGACTAAAGATATTAAATAAGCAAATGCAGATTTGACATTTAAAAAATGTAAAGCAGTGCCATTTTTTTTTCCAGCAAAATTTTGTTTGGGAAATACAGTTTCTTTAATAAAAATCATATATGACATGTAATTAATCTTTTTTAAATGACAGGCAAACTTTAAAAACTTACTTCTGATATGACAAATACTGTAAGAGTGTAAAGAGATCACAAGACCAAGACTACTGGTACAGAGTATTATATTTTGTAAATCAACCATAGTTATTCATACATTCTTCTTACAATGAATTTTATATGGTCGCTCCTTTTTTACTATCACAGTCAGTACTGCCACGTACGTCCTTGTGTGTGTCCCAGGATGCACAGATACGAGAGTTTGCCTGCGTAGGGAATATACCTGGAAGCAGGATTGCTGGGTAAAAGGGCCCGAGCAACCTCAATTTTTTTGCATCAGGTAAATGTGAAAATATGCGGAGTCCACAAATATTTTAAAAAGTGGAATTAGCAAGACTAGGTAGAGTAACAGGCAATTCCATGAGCAACGTACACAGTATAGCCAAGGAGGGAGGAGGAAAATGGAAAGAGCAGTATCTGAGAACTGTTTTTATTGGATGTAATTTGGGGAAAGAAGTGACTACCTGCCTTCATTTCTTTTCTGCAGACCTCACACCTGGTTTTTATCCACTTGTTCCACTTCTGGGGATTAGTGGTATTATCAGCCAACTGCAGGCATTTTTGGAATAGCTGGGAAGTTAGGTTCTTTTTGCTTATTCATCTTTGTAAATCTTTGTTTTTAAGTCCCCATCACCTGTGTCTGGGCAACATGGAGTCACCATCTGAATCTCAGATGTCTTCCTGCAGGTTACAAAGTGATTATTCAGATAGGGAGTTCCCTAGGTGAGGCCTGGCTGCAGAGGCCCCATTAGCTGATGCTGGTAGCTGGTGCATGGTTTTGTGATGGGGAACCATTCTGCTTTCTGTCAGGTATTCAGTGCTACCCACTGTGCCTCCAGTCCTATAGGCTTCTAGCTCTGTGATGGAGCCGAAGCAATGTCCAGTTTGATGCTTAAGCTTTGTCCTCGGTTTGAGGGGTTAAAGTTTCTTGAAGACAGTAGGTTAGTTCCCAACATTTTTGTATACCCAGCATAGTATCTCTCACAGAATGCATACTCAAATGTATGAATGAAGGAATGAATTAAGGATTTTTAAATATACCAAGGTCATTTAACTATTCTGTTAGAACTGCTTTTATACAAACTGGTGAGAAATGTAAGTTAGAAAGGTTTTTTCTCTGTGCAATCTAGGATTTAGCCTTTTAAAGCCTTAGTAATGCAGAATTATGGCATATATTTAACTTTATGACATTTTCATAATAATTTTTTTTCTCTTTTCTTGTGCCAAGTGTCTACTCAAAAGTTTTGGCCTAGTGTTTTAAGTAAGATGCAGTCAGTTTGGACTATCTGAAAGTGAGCTTTCTTTAATTTAAAATGAAATGTGAACATGATTCTTGGGAGAGGTTAGCTAAAATCTAATATATGGTTAATGTGTAAAACAGAAATTCATTTGCTCTATAGGAACTTAATCTCCAATTTAAAGAAAGCAGGCTTTTCAGGCATGCTTTTTAAAAAATACACCACGTTATGAGCTTTTTTTCAGCCTCTTTAAAAAAAAAACTTGCTGTATTCTGAGTTTAGTAATTTCCATATGATGCACGATTTCTTCAAGGACACAAATGTAAAGAAAAAAGATACCCACAAATTGTCTCTGGAAGAACTTCTCTTACTAGTAATGAGACAGGAGTTTTCTTGACCATGATTAAAGACAATTTATTTCCTGTTTTTTGGTATATGTTACATATTTCCAGAAAATAGTGCTTACAGATACCTATGCATGTATGAAATTATCATATAAAAATGATAAAAGCAACCATTCCTTAAGCTCTTATATCCCCTGCCTAGTATTAGATTATATCACTCACAAGAAGTATTCGAATCATAAATACCACAGACTTGCCTGGTTCCAAACCCCGTGCTGTTAGGAGCACATGTAAAATAATAATCAAAAGAACTGGTGTTATTTGTGATCAATCTGACGGTCATCTAAGAGTCCTAGGCTTAGCATTGTGTCTGGTGTATATTAAATGATTAGCCAGGTAAACACTGGTTGAACTACATTAGTATGAACTTGTCTTTGGGATGGGGGTTTTTGTTTTTGGTTAACAGCTTTGAGGTATAACTGACATAAAACGAATTGCACATATTTAGATACAGTTTGACAAGTTTTGACATATGTATACAACCGTGAGACCATCACCTAGTATGGGAAGATATCATGGTTGTAAATAATGATCTTAATTCAGCTTCTAGAACACGTCGGGTGACGAATATCCTAGGAGCTGTAAGACCGGACTTTACTTGAAATGTAAAGGTCGGCTCTGAGCTCCCTACCGGCCAGACAGGGTCGCCCGGCCATGACCGCTCCTCGGGTCGGTCCGGGGACTACCCCGCCCACAATCGGGAAGTAGGCTTAGCGGGCTCTCCACCCAGGTTCTCTTCCGCATTCTGCAAGTCCGACTTCCGAACCTATGTGGGAGGGGCCAAGCTCCTAGGTCCGCCCTCTCACCGAAGGCAGGAAGTGCGTCAGCGCAGGGCTTCAGATGACCCCGCCTCTCGAGGAGATCCGGGCATTTTGGCTCCCGGCGTGCAGCGCGCTGCCCAGGGGGCGGGGGCAGTGGAGCCTGTTGCTCCAGGAAGGCGGAAGTGAGGAGGTTGCTCGCGGCGTGAGTGGCTTGCGGCGTCTGAGTTCCTGAACCCGCTGTCTGGTGAGTTCTGTACCTCCTGGCTCAAGTCGGGTGTGGATTGGGACACGGGACTCGATTTTGCCGCCCTTGGGTAGTCTCGTCTCCAGCCTCGTTCCTCTGTGGGGGAGCTTGAGCCCGATGCAGAGACGCGGGCCTCCTCAAGGGCCAGGGTATCCCGTGGTCTTGGTGGCGGCCTTCGGGCTTCCCCGTGCTGTATGGGAAGTGGAGTCCTTGGTCGGTCAGCCTCGCTCAGGTGACTTCGGCCCTCAAGGTTGGGTATCGGAGCCTCTTTCTCCCTTCCCCTCGTAGGGCTTCGGTTGTTGGACCCAGGGGAACAGAGTTAGTTTGTGGTTGCTGGCGTCCAAAAAATGTCTCTCGTTGAACAAGTGTTTGTTTAAACTTTACGATGTGCAAAGCGCTACTCATTGGGGAAACCAGTGGTGAATAAGACCTATTTAGCCTCTGCCTTTGTGGCGCCCACAGCCCCCGGGGGATGACAGAAAGTAAACTAAATAATTTCAGATTGTAACACGTATTAAAAAAGAAAGAAAACGGTGATGTGGCAGAGAGTAAAAGGAGGGGAGTTTACAGGGGTCAGAGAAGCCCTTTCGACGTAATGAAGGGAAGGATCAGTTCCCAGACATAGAAACAGCGAATATAAAAGTACTGAAGGGGACGTTGTTTGGACGTTTTTGTTTTTCTTTGTTTTCCCCCTAAAGTAATGTCCTAATGGTTTGTTTAACTGCTTTATTGATGTATAATTAACACAATAAACCGCGTGTAAAATATTTTGAGATTATGTATGTGTGTGTATCACACAGACGTAAATCCATCAGCACAGTCAAGATGTTATAAATCACTCCCAAAAGTTTCTCTCTAAACTCTTTATAATCCCTATAATTTCTTCCCACCACTCATCACATCCTCACACTGTCGCTAGGTTGTCATTGATTGGAAGTTTTTCAGATGGAATGGAGCTAAGACAAGAGTTTAACGAGGCAGGGGCGAGGTCACAAATAACCTCATATGAATATATGAGGTGGAAAGTCATTAATTCCAAGAAAGACAGTGATATGCTCTTTAAGGTGTTTTTTTTTTAATTATTTTTTGAGGGGAGGTGATTAGGTTTATTTGTTTATTTTTAATGGAAGTACTGGGCATTGAACCCAGGGCGTCATGCCTGCTAAGCAGGCACTCTACCAGTGAACTATCGTCTTAACCGCCCCCCCCCACTTAAGTTTGTTTTTTTTTTTCCACTTAAGTTTTTAAAAGCTCACACTGACCACCTTGTGGAGGACTTAGGGCTGGGACTAAAGGGGAGAGAGAAAGCAAGGGTGGGAATAGACAAGTTTAAAATAGCTAGATTGACTTGAGGGGGTGGATAATGAAGAAGAGTGAGGTGGGTGGGGTCTCCTGTAGGCTTAGGGGAAATCAAGGTTCAGTTAAAAGATTTATAAAACATTGTAATTTTAAGATGTCGCATCAGTGTAAGGTGATGGTGCTCTTTGCATTTGGGAGGAAATTAAATTTCTTCATCTCGTATGGAAACTATAGGAGCTTTCAGAATTGGCTTGACTTACAGTGTGTCAGTGGCCACAGGGAGTTTGGTTTGGTGTTCTTAATTGTTACTGAGTGGTTGTGTATGCCATGTTGATCCTCACATAACTAGCACATTATGCTGTCATAAATCATGAACAGAGTGAAGAGTTTACTTCCATTTGTTCATGTTCTGTAGAGATACCTCTTGATGTGGTTTTCCAAGGATTCTCCCCCCTGCCTTTTATTTTTTTTGGATAATAAAGTTGCTTTTGAATGTGTATTTTTGTTAACTTTCTAGGTAAAATATGGCTAAAAGTTTACGGAGTAAGTGGAAAAGAAAGATGCGTGCTGAAAAGAGAAAAAAGAATGCCCCAAAGGAGCTCAGCAGACTTAAAAGTATTCTTAAAGTAGATAGTGATGTTTTGATGAAAGACGTTCAAGAGATAGTAACTGTGGTGGAACCTAAACATTGTCAAGAGAAAACCCAGTGTTTGGTGAAAGAAGAAACAGGTGAGTTTATGTGTTTCATTTAAAAAATATATGTATGTCAGCTTCCTTTTTGACTCTTTCCTCCTTTTTGACTGCCTTCCATTCTCTCTTACACGTGCTTCTCTACAAACCTCCTGCCATGCCCGCATAATTCTTTGGAGATGCTACTAGAGATTCTGTGCCTATGCCGTTTCAAAGTCTGTTCATGTGATAGGCACGTTTTGGATTATTCAAGAGTGAGCCTTTGGTGCTTATACAGTAGTCTAAGTGTCTCAGAAAATAGTACTGCAGGAGGAAGCAAACCTAGACACTCTCTCATTGGAAGGCTACACTGCAGTCAGGAACTAGGCAGGATAGAAGGAGATCTTTCTTTATTTTACCCTTTGTAAGATCCAGATTTCATTTTGAGAGTCCTTTGCCCTTATATTGTCCTGAGAAGATCAGTTTCCTTGTATTTGATTTTGACAGATTCTAGGTACCTCTGTTTTAATCATAGTGTAAAGTTGAAGGCTGTGTAATGTGTGTAAAAGTCATTATCCTTGATTCCTCGTTCCTTTATCCCCCTGTCTGTAAACCGCTAGCATGTCTTCTTGAGTATCTCCAAAAATACATCAGGAATCTACCCATTTTTCTCCTGCTTTCGTGCTTTCACTTTGGTGACCATTAACTCTTGCCTGAGCCACAGTAGTAGTCATTTTACTTCTCTCTTCAGCTCTTGCTCATTTCTGATTTATTTTTGACACATCACCCAGTATAATCTTTTCAGAATATAAATCAGTTGTGTCATTCCCATGCTTAAGTCAACACATCAGTTATGTCATTCCTCTGCTTAAACCAACACATTGCTTATCACAGCGTTCCTAGTCCTACTTAGTCTGGTTTTGATACTTTTCTTTAAAAAGCCTCTGACCACAGGCTGAGTTTGCTTTGTTATTCTCCGCTCAAGAGAACATTGAGAACTCCATGAAAGCAAGCAGCTTATTTGGGCAACTGTATCCTCAGAACCTAGAAGAGCACCTAAAATAATCATTCAAGACCAGTTATTGAATGGCTAATGTATACCAGGGACTAGTCTAGGTACTGAGGCAACAGTGATGAGTAACAGAGAAATGGCCTCCATCCTCATGGGATTTACATCATATTGGAAGAGACAGAAAGAAAACCAGATAAATGAATTAGTATAATGTCAGGCAGCAGAGATCATGGGAGACCTGTATACGCTGGTAAGTTCCCAGAGAGGGGTGTTCTGGACATGTCCACGATAGATGGACCGCAGCATGACCGCTCTGAGCTTCCTGCTGAGTCTTCTGTTAGTAGGGCTGGATCTCTGGGTGTTATCTGGATAAAAAAAGTGTATTGGCCCCAGGATATATCTAGGTCTTCTCTGTCATCAGAAGCTTGTTGCTTACTACTGTGGCTCTTCCAGGTATACTTCATTGAAAGTGACCAGTCATTATCCTAATAGTTTAAGTCTAAGGCCTGTCTATTAGAAGTGCAGGTGTGCTTCTCATTGGCACAGCTATTTCATTTAGCCCAAAAAAGCATCTAACCTGAGAAGTGTTCTATTAACTCTCACGTGTTCAGGTCCACACAGTTATCCCTAATGTGGTAATTCAAACCCATATCTCCTAAATGTTTCCAGTTTAACTTCGACTCTTCCAAAGGACAATCAATCATAACAACATTCTTTAGAAAGTTTCTTAGTGACTAAATAGATGATGTCTCTAGTTCCTCATAGATACTTTTTAGGTCTTTCATGTGGGAACACATGGCAGCATGTGTGTGATTGCACTGAATGTGCTGTAAGGAGTTTTTCGAATGTTAGTCAAACAACATTACACAAATAGATTTTTTTTTTTTGCATTTGCAATTTCATGCCACTTTTAAATCTGATGTCTGTTGCATTAATATGCTTTTTCATGGGGTTGTTTCTTCATTTGTGAGTAGCAATAGTTTTTCCCTTTTTTATTTAGATAACATGAAAATGGAGACTGATATTAAGAGAAACAAAAAGACTCTTCTAGACCAGCATGGACAGTACCCTATATGGATGAACCAGAGGCAAAGAAAAAGGCTGAAGGCAACACGAGAGAAAAAGAAGGGGAAGAGCAAAGCAAAAGCCATGAAGGCAGCGAAGGGTTTGGCCTGGTAGACTCTGCAAAACTTGGAGAACCCCACATGGGGCAGATCTTTAATTTGGATGTATACCTTGATTTCAGCTTCCACCAGATGAAAACTTGGTTTCCATTTTTTTAGCTTGACCTTTTTCTTCAATTCAAACTCAACGTAACTCCTCAAATTTGTTTCAGTAACCTGAATAAAATTTTTTTTTTGATGAATGAGAGCTATACTGATAATTTAATTGAATGCCATCCAATATTCAGGGATCATCAGACATCAGAATTCTCTCAGGTATTAGTGTGGTTGTAATTGTTCGGTCTTAGTAAAGATAAAGCATGATATTATACTGACAAATTTGAGCTAACTTAGATTTAAAATAAACTGTTACATGATCCACTGACGTATTTTCAAATGATATGTAAGCAGTACTTGTTTGGAGTTTTGATTTTATATAATTCAGAGTAAAAGAGAATCTGTCTAAATCCTGAAGATCTCTTCTTTCATATATCCTTAAGGTTTCCTAGTATTAGAGAAGACCAGATTCTTCAGTTAATTTTTGAAAGATTTAAAGTTTTTAGATAGAATGTTAACATGTACAAATTAGTATGCTCCATCTTTTTAGGAGTATAGAACATCTTGGAAACTAATTTTATGTTCTTCATTTGCAGCCTAAAATAATGCAACACTTCTCAGAGTATGCTTCTCAGAATTAGCTTTTCTGGATGCATGGTGAAGAAATCCATGGCCCCATCAATTTGTGAAATGCTACATAGTTGAAGATTCAAAAAAAATACCAGCTTAGTATTAGTACAGGCATACATCAGAGATAGTGCAGGTTTGGTTCCAGACCACTGCAGTAAAACGGGTCGCATGAGTTTTTTGGTTTCCCAGTGGATATAAAAATTATGTTCATATTATACTGCAGTCTATTAAGTGTGCAATGGCATTATATGTAAAACAACAATATACATACCTTAAAAAATAATGCTGTTAGAAAAATGGTGCTGATAGACTTTGACCAGGGTTGCCACAAACCTTCAGTTTATTAAAAAAAAGAGCAATATGTGCAAAATGTAACAAAACCAGGTATATGTATATAGTTTTACTGAGATCTAGCAATAAAGAGACCTGTTTAACCTTGACCCCTTGAAATTAGTATTCTAAAGAGTAGGATATACTGTTGGAAATGCTAGTATAATGAAATGATTTTTGTTAAATCTGTCTTGCTACAGTTTACTAATTTCATGCTTATTTAAGTTTACTTTTAGGTAAGCAATTTAAACTTAGCATTCTTTCTAAAATTTACTGTAATCATATTAAGCATCATTATGTGTTCACTAGAACAGCAGGTATTTATTGGGTGCCTGTTGTGTGCTGGGGACTTTTCCAGGTGCTAGGGACCCAGGGAATAAGACGAGGTGTCTGCCCTCTCCTGCGTATCTACCCAGAAGAGGCTGTTAGCTTCAGAGGAAAACCAAGTTAAAGGTGAGACTTGTTAGAATAAGATCACTTAGTCATCACGACACAAATTTTGTATTGGGCACATTGCTAGACCAGGACACAATATAGAGATAAATAGGACATGGCTCAAATCTTCTAGGAGATTTGAATCTGAATTTTAATGCCAGTAAAATCTTAGAATCATTTTATATAATAGACTTTTCTCAGTTTGCTCGGTTAGTTCACCAAAAAGTGGATTATTTTTAAATACTTAAGGAAGCTAACAAGGTGTGAGTTGAAAAGTTCAGAAGAGTTCATGGCTTTTTTTTGCCCTTTGATACAGTTATGAAAAATAAATAGAATTTGTGAGGAAAAGGCAAATACATAAATGTTTATTAATGAAACAAAAAGTTGCCAACATTATCCAAGTAAGCCATGACAATATTAGGCTAAACATAACAGCTAAATTATTTACTTTTTTTTTTCCATCATAGGAATTGTCTACCTCAGTGATTTTATACACTTGGTGCTTATTTAAAATTTGGCAGCGTTGTCAGGTATGTTTTTGCTGGATTTTCTTTAAGTTGAGGTCAGAGGTCAATGCCAGGGATATGTTTTCTGAGGCTGATAACCTCTGATTTGACTCCAACAGTAGTAGCTTTGAGCTTCCATTCAAGGCTTGTCGGTAGTGTTAGGAAGTTCACTTACGTTTGTCTAGTCATGAAGTTTATACAGTCAGGATTTAACTTAAAAGTTAACAGGGTCAAAAATCAAAATACCACTGTCAAAAATGTATTTGAGAGACATGTTCTCAAGTGTCCTATGGCCTCTGGCAGTGTGGCTATTAAAGAGAAACTGTCATGGATAGATTGTGATTGAGGCCTCTAAGGTCACTGAATTCCTGACCTGCATGGCCAGCAGGATTCTTCCCACCTCCAAATTTTGGTGGGAAATTTAGACTAGCGTTCCAAAATGAGTGCAGCATATGATCACTTTGTTGCTTTTTTTCCTAAATTGTAAATTAGAAAGTGTAGCATAGCCCTTTAATCTCTTAAATGATTAGCTTGCCTATGTAAAATTTGTCATCTTTTTATCTGAGGGATGTTTTCCCGAGAATTCTGTAAAGCCACCAGATGGAGCTCAAGCTAAGCACCAAATCATTTTTTAGAATTAGATGGAATGGGCATACTGGGAACTGAATGTGACATTTTTGTTTTTAAGAAATTAAATTTAAAATTAAAATATCTAAGGATAATCAAAATGCTTTCATTTATCGGTTGCTTTGTGTATCAGGCCTTGGTCTAAATTATTTAATCCTAAACTCTTTAATTGAAGTGTTAACTCATTTAATCCTCCCAGCAATCCTGTGAGTTTGGTACTAATATCTTTGTTTACACAAGAGGAAACTGAGGCACATGGGCCATATAACTAAAACCAGGAGAAGTGGGATTCAGATTCATACAGTCAAGCTTCAGAGCCTATACCCTTGTAATGCCACTCTGCCTCTCAAGGATCTGCAAGCTCTTGCTAAGAGAAAATGGTAGTTTTAGGGTAAATAACTATTTTTGGTTCAGTCCATTTTGTGGACTCAGGATCAGATAAAGAGTAGGTTTCAGTTTATAGGCCCCTTCTTAAATCTCTGGGCCCAAACCAGACTGGAATTCCTTAGGTAGCACCCCTTCGAATGGGCTGACCCCATCCATCCTAAAGCTTCAGCCCACAGTCAGCAGTGCCCAAGCTACTAATTGGAGAAGAAATGTGAACTGCAGTTAAAGCTCTGAAGGTAGAATCAAGTAGTTTTGACCACATCTTTTTTTTTTCTAATGTCACATTGTAGATACATTTTCTCCCCCGACTGGTTCACATGCTGCCTAGAATAAATATGCAGCAGAATACATTTGCTTATGAGGAAATATGAATATTTTCAAAATTTGGACTAGTGTATCTGGGATATGATTTTTAGGAGTTGGGGAAAAAGAAGTAATTTGCTATAGATGACTCGATTTAAATTTCCAAATTTATGAATACTATAATTGAGATGCAGATGGTGGGTTGTTGACTGAGCTTACTAGCTAAATGACTAACTTCTGATGCCACGTGGCAGAGTGATTAAGATTCATGCTAGGCACAAAATACGCTTTTTCCCTGTATTTGCCAGCCACTGCAGCAGACACATACCATTTTAACAAGGAAGTGTTGAGGGAGAGTAGGAAACTGTTAATACTCATGCCAGGTTAAAGGCCACTCTCCTGTTCCTAGGGCCCTGTCCCAGGTGGGCCTGGACCAAGTTTGTCCTGCTGACGAAAACCCCTAATTTTACATAGTTGAAAGCCAAGAATCTTTTAGAGCAGGAGAAAAAAAGGATGTGATGTCAAGACTCATTTCCTAAAAAAATAGTAGAAATAACAGCCAACATTTAGAGAATGCTTACTGAGTTAAATGCTTTTCCTGTATTATTTCATTTAATCCTTTAAACAATACTGTGGGATCAATACTCTTATCTCTATTTTCAGGGGAGGCAACAGCTTTGAAGAGGTAAGTAAACTCGCACAAAGCTATGCAAGTATTAAGTAGTGAGCGAGGCCACTAGTGTAGTGTAGAATGATTGCCTCTGATGGGAAGCTTCAGAGACAGGTACTATTGATTCAGTCTAAGGAAGACCCTTTTAACCAAGAAGCTGGGAGGTGAAACAAACAGCCTTGGGAGGACTGTCCTCTCAAGCTAAGGCTAGATGGCCACTTGATTGGAACGTAACACTTGGAATTTCAGGCAGAAATCCTTTCCAGCTAAGAAGTGCCTTGCAGGAAGTTGGCATGTTGAAACGTATTGTGCTTATTTTGCCCTTATAGTCTTTTGGCACCCCGTGATTGCAGACTTAAGTATCTTTCTGGTGGAAATAACAAGGTCTGAAATCTTATATTTGTTAATATTGCTAAGTCTGGCATTCATTCTGTGAAGTTCCACTTGAAAGTATGGAAAAACGTTATAAACATCTGCTTTAAACAATGAATGGGTAAAGTCCTTCGCATTTTAATTTAAAGAATGGCATAGTTTTACAACACATTAAGTTTATAATATGCAGAGTGTATTTAATTTCCTAAAGCGATGACTTGCCTTGGCATTATGCTATCTTATGAAACACTTTCTCTCGCATAGTGTCTTTATAGTTTTCAATATCAGCAAAACCTTTAAATAGTCTTGGTTGGGTGTTGTGGATCACTGTACAGTAACTGCTAGTACATATGGTATTTCTGATCCGTGTAATAAAGTACATTTGTCATGTATCTTGTGATCTGCATACCTTTCAGCTGTTACTTCATAAATCTGTTCCATCAGAGAACTGCTTTGTACAGCAATGGTTGAAGCTGCTTTTAATAAACTAATATTTTGTGTCTTTTATATGTAATCAACAAGGAGTATTGTAGACTTGTGCCTCTGTGGAGAAACATTCCACTAAACTTCTTTTCTCTTGACAATAGTGAAAAAAAATAGCTTGGGAAAAGCACAGATGTTCAAGAACATATGTTGTTTGCTCCTAAAGTCAGCTGAACATCTTTTGTATTGCTCCAGGGTTTTTTTTCCCCCTCTTTTAATGCTTTAGAGAAGAAACAGTTTGAGATATGTAATGGGGGAAGATAGAATTACAAATTTCAGTGGGAGACCAACATTGGGTGCTATTTGTCAAAGTTCTAAAATGCCTCATCTTGCTCACACAAAGAGGTGATATTTTTGAGCAGAGCTGTAGGCATTTGGCCAAAGATTGGTCATTCCTACATGCTTCCCTACTCAGACATAAACATTCTGCTCTAGGTTTAGTCTTTGTTCTGTCCCAAACTTCAAACTAATACTGTCTTCACAAAAGCATAGGTATTTATTAATGCAGGCAATCCCTTGAGTAATTGGATAGGGGCTATTGTCTTTCTTCAGCTGTAGGAATTTGCTCAGTGGGTAAGCCCTCCACAAACTAGGCAATTGGTTATTGATAACTGTATAGTAAAATATTTTTGGAAAACACTTAAGCAAAGGAAGCTATATGCCTTGGGTGAAGTTGGTATGGATGTCCTTTATAAGCCTATGAATCTTTAAGAGGAGTTGCCATAAAGAGAATGGGAACCAGCTGTTCCAAATCTCCATTGACGAAATGGGTTTTAACTGTAGCAGAAGGGATTTGGGTTAAATGTAAAGAAGAACTTCCTGAATGTGAGTTATTTAAAGCCAGATAAGGATTGAGAAGATGCTGTTGAACTGTCTCTCTGGAGGAGAGAGAGTGCTAGAGAGAGGAATGGAAGAGGGTGGAGAGTGGGAGATCCCCACTTAATTGAGGTAGTTTGTAATTCTGCCCAACAGATATGAACCCTTTATTCTCTTTTCTCACGTCTCAGGTTTTGAGGTTTAAAAGGTCAGCCCTGGTGAGTGTACTTTAGTCATGAGAACTAAAGTTCCAGAGGACCCCTAGGTCTGGAGATCCTTTTGGTGTAATTCTTAATAGAAAGGAAATGCTGAGGTGTGACCAGTGGATGAGGAAATTGACTCAGGGTTGATTTTCCACCCGTTATTAAAGCCCAGTGTGCACATTGAACTCATAGTGCCAGGGAGGAATTTGACATTGAGCAGTTTCTGGAAAGGCAAGTGGTTGGTAGGCTGAGACCACTTGGGATGGGTTCAAGAGGTGGGGGAAGGGTATGGCCACCATGTCACTGCTGGGCATGTGCCAGCTAAATATTTTTTCCAGGAAATCTCCAGCAAGACCAGAGTGTTGCAGATCAGGCTTGGCTCTTTAAATTCCAGAGAGCAGAGACTGAGAGGACAGGGAAAGTTTACCCTTTCCTTCTTTTTCCTGGCTGTCACCACCCTGTCCTGTCCCGATTTGGTACTCTTTTACACCTCCCTTTTCTTTGAATTCCTTCAGTCTGTTTTTCTTGCATATATAATGTCAAAAAAATTTTTTTAAATAAAAACGTAAAGCTGAGTCAAACATTATTTACTTCTTAGGGAAAAGAAATCCCACCAAGTTTAGTTGTAAGGTCTTTTGTTTATAATTGACCCCCGGCATTTTTCTTTGTGGTCTAGTGACAATACTAGAAATAGATTTCCTGCTTCTCTTCATCACTGTCTTTCTCTCTTCCTGTTTTTTTGTTTTTCATTTCTACACTGGCTTCTGGGGATATTCAATTTTCTCCTTAGTTTAAATCACTGCCCTTCTTGCATTTTGTCTCTACCTCCTTACTTGGCTCTTCCCCGTTCATCTCAGTCTTTCCACTTACTGTTTTTCTTCCTCTGCCTTTCCATCCTCATCTTCTAACCTTAACTGAGTGCATAAATAGAAAATATGCTTTACAACAGGGGCAAGCCGATTGGTTGGACATCTGTTTTTGTAAATAAAGCTTTATTGGAATGTAGCCACACCCACTTACTAGTGTATTTTCTCTGCTTTTGGCCTACAAAGGCAGAGTTGCATACTTATGAATGAGACCTTTCTCTGGCATGAAAAGCTCAAAATATTTACCATCTGGCCTTTAAGAAAAAAGTTTGCTAAATCCTGCTTTAAAATATCTTCTGTATTTTTTAAACAAAGGCGCTTGTTCTTTATCTGGAAATTCAGGTGAGTTTGATCTGTTGTTTCCCTACTTAATGAAATTAAGCTGCATTTTATATTTGCAAATTTCTCCCAGATTTCTTACTTAAAGGCAGTGTTATCCAAAAGAAAAAAGACAATTAAGCTTATCCTCCTGACTATCAAAGCAAAGTAGGTAACACCAAAAGGTTGTTGTATGTGGTGTGAATGTCTGTGTGTTAGATGTGTTCCCCACCTTCTACCTCCTACTGGACTCTTTAGTTTTGGGGGGGAAAAAAAGACAATTCATTATAAGACTTTTCAAAAATCTCATAGCTAACTTTTCCTTTAAGTCTACAAACCATTTTTGGAAATGTTAGATCTTGCAGAAAGGACTCTTTTAATTTAATATGGCACCTTAAATACTGGTACATATAAAAAGCATTCTAACTTAGTTTTATTTGGTGGGTGGCCTACCTGAAAATATTTTACACAAATACTCTGACAGGTTGGTTTCATTAACATGAAATTAATATGGGCTAAAATAGTCAGAAGAGTTAAGGCTGAAAAATGTTTTAGAGTTCACCTATTTTAACCCTATGCTTTTTAACAGATGAGGAAACTGTTGAGGTCCCAGCTTTCCCAAGGTATTAGGAGTTGATGACACCATCCAGAGTGCAGATCTCTTTACTCTCAGACCAATCGTTTTCTAAATCATAAAGCGATGACAACCAGCTACACAAATGTAACATTCTGACTAATGTCAGGAGTAATTCTATTCTTCCTATAAAAAGAGTGGCTGCTTAACAAGGTGATGGTGTGATGAGTCATCTTTTTTTTGCAGCTCTGTTTCTGCTGTGGCTAATAGCCGTACTTTCCCCACTGGTGACTGCCTCCTTACCTCACAGGCAGTGTAACATCTTTTAGTTCAAACAACCCAATAACAAATTTATTTTGCCCTGTGCCCTCATAAAAGGATGGATTTTGTTTGCTTCTACTCTCTTCTAATTCACCCTGTGTGGTTATCAATTTCTTTTTACATTTTGTCATTTTTTTCTCATAAAAGCAACACATGTATGTTGTAGAAAATTAGAAAACCCAGCAAAGTAAATGAAATACGATCATTCATAATCCAGCTACCCAGAGAATATGTATGTGTCTATATTTTCATAATTGTCTCAACATTGTATCGTTTTATATTCTGCTTTCTTAACTTTACATGGTGAGGCTCTTCCCTGTCCAAGCCACTGAAGAATCTTTGAAAGTGTTTGAAAAAGTTCTCTTGTATTCTGTCTTGTGGGTAAACTGCATTTTCTTGTTTGCCTATCTTTGGACTCACAAGTTTTTTCCAAGCTATAATTGTGTGTGTAATTAAAATACTTTCCTGTAATATTAATGGCCTTACTACCCCTTATTTGCTATATTCTTATAGAAGAGTTCTAGAAGAGAATGAACTCTTCTTAAAAAGACTCCTGATCCATATTGCCAACACACTTTACTGAGAGGCTGAAACAATTAAAAATCCTTCCAGGAGCATGTGACTGCCTGTCTGGGGCACACTGGAAGGGCTGTAAATTAAGCTTTTAAAACATTCCTTTCAATATGTCACTCTCCAGCTAGGAAACTTCCCATGGCTGCAAGATCAAATCTAAGCTTCTTAATGTGTACGCTCTTCCATTTTTTCACTTCCAACTGATCTCTCAGCTACTGCAATTTGGCATCTGCCGCCGTCTGTCTGCCTGGAGGCATCAAGGAAACAGTCCTAGACTGGACTAAGTGTCAGGAAACTAGCGTTCAAATCCCAGCCCTGCCACTTAATAGTATGTGACCTTGGGCAAGTAACTTAATTTCTTTAAGCCTGTTGCCTCAGCTTTAAAATGGAAATAATAAAGCAGACCTTGATTTGTGGGGCTCTCGTGAGATAATATAGGTAAGAAGTGTTTTTAATCTGTGGAACACTGGGTAAACGTTAGTAAGTGTACTGTCATTGAGGCTCCTGTTGGAGCAGTGTGGTAGTTATTAGTGCTGCTCACCAAATAGTGCTGATTCCTTTTAGGCTCATGGTAGAATTTCACTTCCTCACCCTCTGCCTTTGAATGTGGTCACGTGACTGACTTCCACCAATGAGGTATGAGTGGAAGAGCCGTGCATTTACTTGCAAAATCTCTTTAAGAGGTAGGCCTTAGCCACTGTCCTCTTCTCTCTCAGGTTCAAAGGGCAAAGCTACGGATGGTTGTACCACAAGCCTGGGTCCTAGAGAAAGAAAATGTGGAGAGGAATCCCCAGTCACCCCGTGATGGGTGTGTATCGTGAGCAAGAGTTAGACTTCGCTTTTCTAACGCCCGAGGTGCGGGGTGGTTTGTTACTGCACTCTCACCTAGTGGCACGAGCCCAGCCTCGGTCTGTCTTTCTCTGTAGCCTTTGATATTATTAAAATTCTTGAAATCCTCTTTTCCTTTGACTTGCTGCCATTCACACTCTTGGTATTTTCCTCTATCTCTAAAATTCCTCTGTCTCCACTGCATTCTCTTCCTTCGTTTTCCACTCAGCACGCATATAAGATGAGCTTCTGACCTCATTTTCTCCTTTGTTACTTGCTTACCTTTGCCAACTTTGCTTTCTCTCACAGCTTTAAATATTATGTCTCTTTTAACCCTGTGTGTTTGAAAATGGTTTCCAGTTTGAGGATTACTGGTTACCCATTTTTTTGTGCCTCAAAGGCAGGGACCCTGAACTGGAACCAGGCGGCCAACTGGCTCCCCCGCTTGTCAGCCTGCAAGAGACCTAACCTCTCTATGCCTGTTTTGCATCTGTAACACGGGGATAATTGTAGTTCCTACCTCAT